AAACACCGACGAGGAGGGAGAGAAACTCTTTTTTAGTTCAGGCTTCGAAATAAGAACAAAAAGGGAATTCTGTTTAACGTGTTGTGCATACAGCCGAAAGGTTATGAAGCAACCGGATTAAAGTTAAAATTGGCCGAGAATGAAAACAAGTGTAAACAGCGAGCACAAACGATTCGACGCGTCGTAGGAGAGGAGAGCACGTGCTAGGTCGATTCGTTCGAAAAGGCCGGAATAAATTACATAGTGCGCGATTCCAAGGAAAGAAAAACTGGCTGGCTCAAAGGTGTATCTTTTACCGTTGTAAGTTTAAATAAATGGCGGTATACACGAATCGTTTAATCCATCTGGTTAGATCCAGAAACGGCTGGATGCTATGCTTTACGCGCATGCAAATTCTGTTATCTGTTAAAGAGTCGAAAACAAATGGTGGACTCTTCATACCTTACAAGTGCATACATAAATTCAAAACCTGTCTATGAATCGCGTGTTTTATTTAAAACACGCCGAACGTGTGAATTTGTTTGTGCCGTTCGTTTATTTGCATTCGTGTTCAATTCGAAACCATCGGGGGAAAATAGGATAAAATTGGGACGCTTGATTTTGTATTGACGAGAGAGAAGAAAAAAAAAAAAGGAAGAAAGGGAAGGCAAAAATAACATTTATTTTGCAGTTTTTATTTAGATATTTGACTATATCAATCAGAAAATTAAATTTAATTTTTGAAAGAAAGTGAGACTTTCTTTTCTGCAAGTATCGAAATATCGCTGTTGTTAAAAAGAGAGAGTGACGCTCACTTGAAAAAGCGAAAATTATTATAATTATTAATTTATATTAATTATAGTATATAACTAAAATTTTGATATGGAAAATATTAAGGTTAAAAGAAATCTTAGGGATAATTTTTTTGCATAAAAAAAAGAAAAATAAATATAAGCAAACGAATATATATATTTTTTTTTCTATATTAATGTAATCTTCGTAGGCCAATATATTTTAACGATCAATGTATTATCATTCGATCTAAATATTTTAAGAAAGGATAAATACATATGTATTAAAGAAAAAAAAAAAAAAGAAAAAAACACACTTCCATTTTTCTCTGTATATTAGTACCCTGCTCTATGACTCTACACTAAAGTGTTCCACTTTACTCCACACATGAGGTATTTTAGAAAAGTTTAATATTTACGCTTCAGCTTGAGATAGAGGGTCGGTTAAATTGGCAAAATATAGTTTTGGAGAGCTATAAAATGGATATATTTTAATAGTTCGTTAAATGCTCGAGTTAAAAGAATAATTCTTGCACTAAGAAAACTCTATTGAAATTTTTCATCATTTTAAATTTTCCACGAGAAAATGTCTTCATGGAACTGTGATTAATTACAAAATACTTCGACGACCATCTGGATCCACGATATCTTTTCACTCATATTTAAGAAAAACATTAATGTTCTATTTATAGTATCTTGTACTCCCTCAAAGAAGAAAATCTGTATAATTGATTTTTTGATCGCAAAGTTTGTATTTTCAATGGAAAATTTTTTCGACCGAACATGAAATCAATCCTCAAAGTTTCGACATTTTTTTTGCCTTTGGAAATAATTAAAATCCGACTGGTTTATAATGTATTTAAACTTTTACTTTATCTGTTACGAAATTATATTTAAAAAAAAAAAAAATTGAAACTTCAAGGATTAATTAATTAACAATTTTTGAAAGTGATATTTCGATAAAAAAAAATTGCTTCATACATAAATTCTGCTTTACATCGTGAAGTTTCATTGAAAATAGAATTTTTGTCGATTTTTCATAATATAATTAATTAATTAATTTGAAAATTTTTATTTCAAATTTTTCCCTCTTAAAATTATAATTTCTGAATCATGTCGTCAGCATGCGATATGCTTCTGCATTTTGTTATTCCGTGTGTATATCTGCATCATACAAGCGTTGGAACATAAGGTTATAGGAGCGTGCATAGGAAACTTTATCAATCGATCTGATCTGTCACGCACTTTATAACACTTTCTCTTCGATGACTCAAAGGAAAAGGGAGAAAAGCTTCCTTCCACTTAATCCGGGAACGTTTCTGCATATTGAGAATCGCGCCTATTCTCTGCTCTTCTTGAAATGTCGTATTCATTTTTTTTTTCTTTTTTAATTTTTCGAGATACATTGAAATATTTGAAGTTGTACGTGTCTTCAATAGGGAAAAGAGAGTTCACTTTTCAATAGGGAAAGGAGAGACAGAAAAAGAGTTTCAATAGAGAGCCCTGTGTATTTTATAATGGTCTAGAATCAAGTCTAATTCATTTTTCCTATAATATAGACAGCACAAAGAGAGTATAATAAAATGTTCGATTTTATTAAATCTCGAATAATATATTCTAAGTATTGATACGTCACAAAATATTGTAAGAGGGGGATAGTTTGTTAAAATTATTTTTCGACAATTTATCTGGAAATGCATAATTTTATTCTTTCAGATAAGATCAAATGATATTTTACAATTTGTTTGGGAAAAATTATTAAATGAAAATTAATATTGTATAATATTAATACAATTACAATTCAATTACATTTCGAATGAAATATTATTTTTTCTTCTCCATCGGCTGGAATGTGATTCGATTGTAAAAAAACTTCTTAACTCAATCTCTTTTCTCATTTGCAGTACAAATCATTGTGCACAACATATCCTTTCTAGAATTAACATAATCTCACGCGTGTATCTCTTCATTTTATTTCGATGTTATGTTATCACATAATCAACACAATTATATCCTGGCAGCCTTTTTCTCTAATTCGAAAAAATTTATTACTCGCCGGGTTGGCCCGAAAAGAACGAATGAAATATTTCCTTTTTTTTTCCCCCTCGAATAATAATGATAAAGTTATGAAAATGCGATATATGCGAAAAGAATATATATGAAAAAAAGAGGAAGTTGTTCATCGTAGATAAGAAAAAAAAAAAGAAGGTTGGAAGAATTGGACAAAGAGAGAAAAACCACGTATAACGAAATTCCATTTATATGATGCCTGATTACCCAAATACGTATATCTGAATTATGTTATTATTATTATCTGAACAATATAATGCGATTAAAAATATGATTAGACTATTATTATCTTTGCAAATTTGTTTCCAAATTTGTAATATTTGTATAACATTTTTGAGAAAATATTTTGTAAGATCCTGTTATAAAATTTTCTTATTTTTTAATATTGAATATGAACTATTAATTCGGACGGAATATCATAGAGATGCAGGAATTAAAGAGACTGCTATTATATAAACAGAGGCTGGTTATGCGAACGTGTTTATTTCTCGATAAATTCGAAGTTATTACATACAATTCCACCAATTAGTGATCCAAATCGTGATCCCTTACGCATCGAATTTCGTGGCCTAAATTCGTTAGAAACAATTTTATTTTTTCATATTCTTTCTAACCTCGTATTCTCTTTTAATTGATTGACACATGGAGCAATTTTTGGTCTAGAAGATCTTTTTGAAAAGATGCAATCCCTAATCTTAGAATATTTTTTTGAATAGAATTTTGCATGGGGACTGTTTTTTTATAATAGATTAATTTCTAAAAATTTGATAATTTGAAATTTTACCTTGTATCATTACACAATTGGAAAAAACGCATTGAAACATTGAATTTTGAATTTCGCTTTTAAAGTTTTATTATAAAATGAGATGATAAACGATTGTTTATTAATTTTTTTATTATACAAATAAAGAGATATTGAAACGCTTCTCGTTAGTTATAGAAAATATACATATATTACATATTTTATAATTAATGTATATTGTTGATGAATATTAATTAAGTGATATATTATTATTAATAACAATTGATCATTGTTGAATGCAACTAGAAAATAATTTCAGAATTAATTAGCAATAATCAAAATAGAATTTCCATCATTGATAATAGTCAATGATATAATTTAATCATTTGCAGTGATTATTCATAATCAAAACTATTTAGAGAAGGTTATTATTTTTTTTTGTATTATTATACCTACTTTTCTAAAATCTAAATTATAACGCTTATTTTTGTTCAACAAAGTTTTTTTGCATAAATGTTTATGATAATTGTTTTTTCGAAAATATTTTACACAATTATTAAATGATGATTAATTAAATTTTCGGTTATAAATGATTATATTATTTCTATTTCTATAATACTGATTCATTCTGACTTACTTTATTGATCGCAAGTCGATCGAGAAATTCAAGGTATAGCACCATTTGTACAACACGAAGAACAACAAAAGTCTAAAGAAAAATCTTGAATCTCAAATTGAATTTCGTTCGAGAAAATAATAAAGATGGCTTTTCACAATTTTTTTTTTTTTTATCTTTATCTTTAATGAAAATTCAAATTTGTAGATTGATGTCACTCGTATAAAATGTCATCGATCGATACCGGAAACCAGCGACATTTTATCAAAAAAGACTAAAAACTGTAAATTTTAAAAAGTGATGGAATACTTTCTCAAATATAATCTCGAATATAATCGATCGAAAAAAGGCATTTTCATTTGTGAAGTTGTTCACATTATTGTTACCCGCAAAAAATCAAGACAATTTTGATCAAAAGGGATTTCCTTGCCTGCGAGAATTAGAAGAGGAAGGCGGAAGTTATTCTTTTCACCCCAAATACACACGTCCACTCTTTTATGAAGAAACTTGAAGTTTCGCCTCTTTGCTAAATTAAACCTCGTAGAATTAACAGCAGACACTATGAGAATAGTCTCGCGGTATAACCATCTCACGGTCTGAAATTGCACGTTCCTTGCTAATTAACAATAACCAGACTTCTGCTGGATTCTTTCGACGTAACGTATTTTAAGAGATGGAGGAAAAAGTTCTAACAAGGCTATCAGTTTTATATTTTTTTCTTTTCCCCCTAAAATTTGATTCAATTGACTTTGACCGTTTTTTTTTTTTCATAAAATTCATATAATGAACTTTATTATATAATAATAATAATAATAATAATAATAATTATCTGTAACGAAAGATGAATGTAAAATTTAATACGTATCATAAAAGTATAATAATATAAAAATAATAAAATCTTGCTCTTCTCTTGTCATATCTGATACCATTTGTACCATACTTTCTTCATCCATCATTCATTTGGATTATTAATTAGAAATTATATTTATCCTAGTATGCCTGCATTTTAATTTGAATCTTGAGGATATATATTTATCCTATCTTATCCTGTCTATCCTACAAAGATCAAGAACAAAATTGTTGAATCTTTAATTTCATTTAATCCCTTTTGGCTCCATCTGTTTTATACTTACTTTACTTTAATTGTAAATGTAAGACAGAGAGTATGCTAGCATTTCATCGAAGAAGACAAAAGCTCGAAAGAAAAAAGGGATCAGGAAAAAAAATGATAGAACAAACATAGAAAGTAGCATTAATCAATATCGATTCAATTATTGTCAACAACAGAAACATAACATTAATAAAGGAGAACGTGCTATATTACCTTCCATTAATAAAACTTGGAAAACATTTTTTTAATTTTGTATTGTAATAATTAATAGTAATAAATAACTTTTTACTTATAAATATCGATTCTATATATCTTTTTATCTTTCAACGTGCAATACTTGAATTCATTCGCAAGAAATATTTCTCCTTCGAGATGAAACTTTACAAAACTTTCGTTTTTGAGGTTATGTCAATTCCTCAAACTTGCTTTTTATTGGCGAAAACAATACACAAACAAAATCTATATAAATTTAATAAATGCAATTAAATATCTTAACACGTAATACGAAAAATAACGAGAGAAAAATATTATCTTTTCTAACCTTTCCTCTATTTTATTTCTTAAGAATTTCTTCCAAGACTTTCGAGATTTCGTTTCGAGATATCAATGACATGGTGGCATAGTGGTAAAGTAACGTAAAACTGAGAGATGGTTGAGAGAAGATAAGGATGACTTAAAAAGAAAAAAAAAAAAAACAACAACAACAAAAGATCAAGAAAATTAATCAGGGAAGAGGAAGCTTCGAAATGGAGTAAAATTACAGTGGAAAAAAATTGCGAAATTTTCTCAACGTTAATAATTCAAATTGTAAATTAACGTAAACATTTTTCTTTTTAATCTTTTCATGCAGATAATATCAAGGAAGATGAAAAGCGAAAATTCTATTATTTCGTTTGAATTCAGACTAATTTAAATCGTTGTATTCAGATTTTATTAATCACTGTGTTTAAACTATATTTTATGCAAAAACAACCTGAGGTATTTGTAATCGTTTCACAACATTTTCGTGTTTTACTATGAAAATATTACGAAAATGTAAAGAGGAAATATTGAATTTTTAAAACCAAACCGTTCCAATCCAAAAAATTTAAAAACCACGCTAAAATTAGAAGAACATGCGAGAAAAGAAGAAACTGTTCTTTTTTCAAAATATTCCTTTCTCCTTTTTCAATGGACAAAAATCTTCATCATTTTACGTACAACATAATTTGATCTCGTGCAACAAGCCAACTATAATTAACTTTGCTTCACGTGGAGAAGATAACCCAACTTTTTCTCACGAGTTTTATACGTAATTTCGCGAACAGTTTATAAGTCGAAAACATCGATACATTTTTCGCATATCGTAGTTAGTATGTTTGCAAAATTTTTCTCACAGATGTAATACAATACAAATAATTACTCCTCTTATACTCGTCTACCAAAAAACATCGACGAGTAATACAATTAATCGCGATATTATTCGATCACATTTCAATCCTCTCCACTATTTATTTACGCGAATTCATTTCGCTCGACAATAACGACTATTATTCGTTACCTTCGACCGTAGGAATCGTTTATTGTGATTTCGTTTCGATGGATTTATCGCCCATAATTAATTAGACGTTTCTTTCTTTTTTTCTCTCGTATCGTCGATCGAGGCTCTAATGGATCGAGCCTGCCATTTCGCTCCATTTATCGTTACTTCACGATACGCGTTTCACTCCTAAACTAAAGTTTCTCATATAATTTTTTTTATTAACCCCGCTCACATCGAGGGATTCGTTTCTCTACTTTGTTATCTCGCTTTAAATCTTCGCTCAGTTGAGAGCTGGATCGATGTGCAGGCAAGCAAGTGCAGGGATGAGGAGGAGGAGGAGGGAGGAGGAATAACGTTTTTCTGTTTGAGAAATTTGAAAAGTTGCCAAATACGGAAGAAGAATTTGCCTCGTGTTCGACCGAATATTTTGTAACGTGTGGTTGTTACGTAATTATTTACGTAATTAAACTAAACCATTTTTACTGATCTTGGCGATTTTTTTTTTTTTCTTATGTAACTTGTTGTCGAGATCAGTGTGTCGTGATGATTTTATTTTGGATGGTCGTTGCAAAATGTTATTTAGCAATAATATTTCTTGGAAATAATTTAGGCTAGGTTGAACGTGAAACGTTCTTCATAGCATCGTTTAACGTGACGATTTTGACAGTTTTGGTTTTTTTATTTAAAAAAAAAAAAAAAAAAACATCGAGATCGGTTCTTTTTTTGTAAATATCTAGTAGAAAAGTGAAAAGTTTGAGATAAAATTTTATATCCTTCTTTTCAAAAATTGTTCGATCAAGGATAATCGTTTTCGTATATTCGACGAATTTTTAAATTTTATCCTCTCGAATAGTTGAAATAGAAAATTTTCGTTCCACGTATATTTTTAATTGTAGAATAAATTATTATCGATAATTCGTTTATACTCGGCCAAGAAATTAACCAAATTATATTACTCTCGAGAACGAAATTTCAAACAGTTATTCTCCCTTTTCAATTTATTTTTACACGCGAAATTTTTTTCTCCCAGCATATATCGCTTGTTCGATTTCATTCTGTGTGTGTGTACATATATATATATATGTTAACTCATGCCAAAAAAGTGGATCGCGTTAAGGCTTTGAAGAAACAGCCAGTTTCAATGGCACATTCTATACGCTATTAAAGAGCCATAACAATATTGCGATGTGTCGAAAACTGGCACGTTGCAAAACTCGCATCGTGGTTGTTAAAGAAAGTAACTGCGATAAGTTTGAAGCATGATGGAAATACCATCGTAAATATTGTAATCTTGCGATAGATCATTCCAAATGTAAATAGTCAATGTTCGTAAGAAAAATTATACGTGACACAGTTTGGGAAAAAATATTTGACACGTAATATTTTTTTTCTACGCGTCGTAATTCACATTGAAAATGTGAGCAAAGAGTCGAGACAATATGGAATGTTTCAGGAAAAAGTTGAATTGCTAAAGGAAAAAAATAATAAATAACAATTTCTCCGATTTTATTAAACGATATATGCAAAAAAAAAGGACAAAAATTTTTCGGTCAAACGCGGAATTAGATTAAAAATTGTGATAATTTTTGAGAATGTAGAATGTTGAAATACAAAGTTTAAAGATATGATGTGAAGCGAATAGGGAAAAAAAAAAAATAATGATCTAAACTTTTGGCAGTTTGTAAAGGAAGATACAGTGGAAAAAAAGTGTTTGATCGGCAGAAATCTGAAAAAAAAGTATTCGTTATTTCGTAAATTCGCAAATATTTTTTTTTTTTTAAAATAATTCTTATCAAATATTTTACGTTTCCATACGTGTAATTGTTTCTATTGTTACGTGCATTGCCATTGAAGATTTTTCTTTTTTCACTTTTTCCTTTTGATAAAAAAAATTTTTCTAATCATTCTCCTTGCATGTACTCCTTTTCATTTTACCCTGCATTTGATATTATTTATTTCAAATCAAAGTTATTTTTTTGAATGAATTCCATGTATCAAAAACTTTTTGTCAAGGATGACTTATTGTTTTGTTACTATATTATTATATCTTCAATGGAAGTAATACAGAAGGTGTCCTGGATTTTTCGATGCAAATTTTAAAGGAAAAATAAGACTAAAATGTGATCTTAAAAATCTTTATTGATCAATTATAAAAATTATTAAATTTATTGTTAATTTAATTTCGTTCCTTGTCTAATTTTTTTCACATACAACATTCTAATTCAATTAATATCAATAAATAAACATTATTATCTTGCATTCTACGTTGCATTGAAAGAAATTTTATTATTCCTTTTCTTGCTCAAACACAATGCGATTAATTAAATAACACGATCAAGATAACTCATTCTATCTCGAAACAACGATTGTACAAAAGATTATTAATAAATTTTTTAATAGTTTAATCTCGAGAGCAGAATTGTGCGATTAGTTATACATCTTTTTTTCACCTTTCGAAATTTTTTATTCTCAAATTCGCTCAAAGCTTGCTATCTGATGAAAAGTGTGTCCATTTGAAATAGATTTTTGTCCCTTTCAAGCTACCAACGTATTTGTCTCTTCGTCGATGGACTCTTGCAACAATTACTCTCAAAATACAAAAGTATTCCGAAATTTCAAGCTTGCTATTCAACAATTATATCCGTTTGAGAGCAATCTGGAAAATTTTCGCTCTCAGATAGTCGAGCGATGCTCCCGGATAATCGCTCTCGATGCGGTGTCCACTCGTTATAAATACTTGAGAACAACTTGGGATAGTTTTAGCGAATACGTACAGCCAGTCGCAAAAGTATTCATATTAATTGATATCGTTTCGAAATCGATCCTTAAAATTTCAATTATTATTTTTTTTTTAAAAAAATAACAAGACACTAAATTAAAAAATTATTTTCAATCGAAATTTGTACGCTTATGAAGACGGGCGAGTGGACTTCTCAAAGAGATTTTCTATCGAAAAATAAATCGCATACAATCGCTGTTATATACTCTGAAAAAATTTTTCATTAAAATCAGATTTTTTTTTTAAATATTTCTTTGTGAGGTATGAACACTTTTATGTGCTGCATATTCTTGTAGAAAAGAAGAAAATAACCAGTCGAATTAACGATTAAATCTGTCTGCATTCGAAGAT